GCCATTGACGAACAGCTCACACGAGACCTATTTGACGGAAAATTACCCAGGTTACGGGAAAGCCCCCGCGGCTACCAGTTTCACAGTCCACTTGAGAATGTTAGAAGCTTTAAAGCAAGTGACAAATTCAGCCCTGCGCCTCATCCTGACCATTTTCTAGACACAAACTTACCGCTGTTTGCCAAACAAGAGCAAATTAACGAGCTGGGAAAGAAGCTAGATGGAATCGTTAGGAGTGTACAGCCTAAACAGGAGGCCAATGATAAATGGAGGTAGTACAGTTTCAAGACAAAACCCGTATGTTATAGATGTGGACGCCCTGGCCTTATTCAGGATCACTGTAACTATAACCAATCTAATGAAACTAAGGTTTCCAAAGAGAGAGACGGGTCCTACATCGTGCTACCCAACCAACTTACTGTCAACCAGAAGGAAATTCCACCCACGAAGAAGAAAATGAATTGGATACTGAGGAGACCGCATTACAACTCGAAAGTCAGGAACACGCCACAAACAGCCCAAATTTACCACAAGGGACGAAGGCGGCACGAACAAGTCACCAAGGTAGTCACACCGAGGAAACCAAACCAGAGGCCAAGAAAGTTACGAATACAAAATCAGTTAAGACGTGTCCACTCGTAAATAAAGCAGAAAAGTACCCCACCAACCTGACCACTACGAGTAAAATAGCAGGAAAATCCGTTCATCTAATGGTGGACTCTGGTGAACACGTTTCAGCTATAAAAGAAGTTCCAAAGGAAGTATACGGTGGAGTTCCTTATCCTGCAGTTCAGACTGGGAATGAACACCCACAGATAATAGTAATTACCTTGCCGCTACACCTGGAGGAAAGTCAGTTCCCTAGTGAATTCCAAGTCGTATAGAACCTTGCCTATGATGTCATTCTTGGTCGCGATTTCCTCCAAAGCAACAGAGCCATTATTGACTTCGATAAAAACACAATTATCATTACAGAAACAGAAAATCCACAGAGCCAAGAAAGTTCAACTGCAGTGCCTACAACGGAAACGTTTACACCTCAAGAAAAAAATGTCGAGACAAGAGAAAACGCCTTTGCCGGTGACGAAGGCTCTGTGAAGTGATCGGATGTAAATCTGCCTCCCAGAGATCCGAAGGACGACAGAGTTGCACTCCAGTCACTCTTGATATTATTTCTCATTGATATGTCCCTGTCCGCAACAATTCACATCGACATAGATAGTAATTTCAAGTCCGTTATCCAGAAGCCACAGACGTCCTTTGTCCAGGTGTCACCAAAGAGGGTTTGGCACAAAGATGACCCTTCTGATACGCCAGCCAAAATTGATTACAGAACAGAATTTGACGAAAGATTTGATCGATACCTAACCGAAGAACCTACAGGAATAAAAGTACCTGAGTCTCATGATGTACTCAAGAAGACCATTTATCTTCAAAGCCCTGACCGACCTTTGAAACAAGCAGCGAGTACCACTTGACTGACGACCAGAAAGTAAGACGGAATTAAGATGATTACTAATGTGTTATTTTAAATTTCCTCCAGGACGTATTTTAGTTACTTTTTAATTAGGAAATAGATGGTTATGCGGAGTGATAAATACGACATAAGTACATAAAGAAGAAAATATCATTTATCCTTAAGAAGAATTTATTTGCAATAAGAATGCCAAGTTTATTTGTCATTATGACCCCTACGCTTTCTCCAAGTTTTTCTCGACCAGGAGGTCTCGATTTAAGGTGGGAGGAATGTTACGGAAAATTTAGTGATTTTTCCCTGTCGCTGTTTAAGCATATTTATTAGTTATTTTTTTGGTATTCTAGCCTTTCTCAATTCATGCAAGTTTCTTTCATTGCGATGTTTTAAAAAGATAAAAAGCCACAAGTAAACTTGGAATAGTCAAATTAGATTGTACAGCTGCATGTCAGTACTTTTATTCTTCGTTACTGAGTTGTGAAATTTTTAGGTAAATATATGTGTTAAGAGTGTTTCTGACAAAATTAGTTCTCATGGTAGTTGGCAGCTGACTTTATACTCGTAATTTTAATATCCTTTCATACGATAGTTTCCATACCGACCGTGCATAGATAAGCAGAAACTTTTAATTACCATTCCACTCTGATTTCCTAAGCTGTGTTACTACAATTCAGATCGGTATATTTTCTATACCAGAGGTGTGAATTCTCATCTAAGTTTCCTATTTTTAATGGCCTCGAGTTTATTGCATCCGACCTTTTAATTTGAAATTCTTTCGTTGTAGAAACAGCTGGGAATATTTAAGAGATCTTTACCGCTACTTTTGTTACGCTGTTCAAATGTGGTCGATTAGTTAGTTGATAAACATTTCCCTTGTAAAGTTTTAATGATTACAAACTTGAGTACGCTAGAGATCACGTCGCTTGCTGGCCTGACCTAGAATAAAGTTTACTGTGGAACCAAACGCTGTCTCCTCCTTGACGTCCGTATAAGCTCGCTTGAAGTAGATCCCTGCGTACCAGGAAATCGTGACAAGTTTCCGTTCTCGCTGCCCCCAGTTATTGTTGTGCCATCCGCAAAGGTTCAGTTTCCCAGTTTGGGCGCGAAAACCTATCGTCACAGTTTCACAACTTTAGATTCAACACTGATACATTTATCAAACGATGGGTGCGGTTTGTTTATGCGATAATACATGAACGACAGCGAAAAAACAAAGGAAGCAAGTTTCCAAAGAATCTTTTGTGTTGTGTCGTAGGGTATAGAAAGATAATTTGGTTTCATCAAATCAGTTGATGATTAGTTTTCTCGGCTAGTGCGGACAGGCCCTAATTATAATTGGGTACATACAAATGCTGTGCCGCGTAGCACTATAAACACAAAAGGTGGAACAGAGAACTAACTCTGAAGCGTAAATTAAAGTTCAAAGTGAAACCTATGAAAAAGCTACTGAGCGTTAGCCTTCGTAAAGGGTATTAGCGGTAGATCTAATCCGGAGGTCATGGATTTGATTCCCACGGAGGTCGCAAAAATTTTTTAAAAACCCTTTACTAGGGCTAACTTTCAGTGGGTTTTTCATGGGTTTCACTTAGCGCTTTCATTTACGCTTCAGAGTTGATTCTCTGTTGCACCTAATGTAAATTGGTCTCAGTAAAGAATTTCCAAAGCTGACATTTCAGGTGTTAGCCCTTCGTTAGAGCGAAAAAAGTTATCACAGCGTAAGCAGAAGCTCATAGCTTCCAAATAGCAATTTGTCTGACTGAAGGAAAACGTTGTACTTGATTGCAACATAAAGGTCTTTATTAGTGTCTTCGTGGGACTCTCGCGGGAGTCAATAATGTTGTTATGGCCTTTTGATAATGAATCGGTGATGACCTCTANTTAAGAGAAAAATGTACGAATCGATTACATTGCTTCATACCGAGAGGGTTTTTAACAGAAAAAGGCATTTCTTAAGTGAAGCGAAAAATAGTCGAGCTGTTCTAAAGTACTAAACAGTAATAGACAAGAATCATTCGAGGGAGTTTTGAAGGGAAATTGGATTACTTCCTTCTCATGTTACGCATTAGCACGCAAGTTCCAAGCTTTCTTGTACCTGTAAAGACGAAGGAAGTCTGTTTTCGTTCAGGGCATCACACACTCCATCGCAGTCACAGCCGTGAGGCTCTGGGCTTTGGGTAGCAACATTTGTTGGAGCAATGGTTGGGTCTTCAAGCTGGAGAGAACGAAATCCTTTGGTGGCCGGAATGGCCAGCGCGACAAAACAAATCAACAAATATGGCTTCATGTTGAGCAGAGAACCGAAAGTTGTGTACTGGGTGAAAATGGGTGTGTAAAGACATTTTATATCAGGAAAGCGGAAAAAGACATGCGTGGTCAGTGTGGAGTGTTTGTAGTTTGTTCAGTTGCATCTGTTGTCTTGAGGATTGTTTCGATTGATTCATGCAGAACGTCAGTTGATGGCAAATAGAAGTTGTGCATACTTCGGTTGACTTCACGTGCTGGTGGAAAATTTCAACACTTCTTCATGAGAAATTTCGAAAAAAGTAAGAAAAAAAAAAACAACTCAGATCTTAATTCAGAAAAAAGCCTGAGTTGGAGAAAAATTGGTCCAATGTCTCATTGATAAAATGTGACATTAAAAACGTGTTGGTGTTGTTTTTAACTTTGAACACTTTTTCCTGTTTATGCGGGAGTGTGCACTGAAACGTGCTTCACTCAAAGTAATCACTATTTGAAAGTTAAGGAGGCGTTGCGAAAATAATCTGTATTTAGTGCACCGAAAAAACTAATGGCTTTTTATTATGTTGTTACAAGTTTTCAAAATTAAAGCCCTCTTAAATCACATCGTGTCGCTTTCCCGCGTCCAAGCGTTTTTAAAAAACATCACGTTAGAGAGGCGCAGAGTACGACATTTCCAGAACAAATTCAATCTAAATTTTCACTGACGCTTTAAACTAACGTTTTCCCGAGTTTTTAAAGCGTAACTTCTTGCGTGAGCTCTTGCGGAGTTTGTTTTTTCAAAGGAACTAAAACGCTTAATTTCAAATTGTTTTGTGTTTTGTGATTCATTGCATTCAAACACACGTTCTTGATTGTGAAACAAGATTGGTGTCTTTTCGCTTCAGTACATTGCGGAAAGTGTACTGGTCAGGTAACTTTAAACAAGCAAATCTAGGTGCACAAGTTTAATGATGCCCGGGAAGGGCCAATATAAAGTTAAGTTTACATTAAGAAGCACAAATCTCTTGTCGAATTGATACTTTATTGGCGGGCTTCGTTTGTTAAGCGCCCCATGTGAGTCAACAAAATTATGGAAATTTTTCCATCCGTTTTCACATGACAGTAAAAATAAAAAATTCTCGCATTTCTTATTTGTGCTGTTATAATATCTTTTTATTTTTCATAAGTTGGACTAGTTACAAAAATATTTTATAAGGGGTTCAAGAATTTTAATCCTATTAACAAGTCGAGAAAAAAAAGTCAGAAAGAGGAAGAAAGAGGATTAAGATGGGGAATAAAAGATTTTTGAAATTGTTTTCTTAGAGAATTGGAGAATCGAAAGCTATCGGCCTTTAGGAAAGCCTCGAGGGGGTAATTGACTTTCCTAGTTATTACGCCAATATATTTTTAGATAAATTGATTCAAGGGGAGTTGTGATACCAGAGTGATACATCTAAACTTTTATTTCGTTCAATAATGAATCTGTTTTACACAAGCCTTCGATGTTACACCGCTGCCCAACACATAAGAATAATACAGAATGACATAAATTCGTTCGAAATGAGACTTAAAAAGTTCATCGCTACTTGCAGATGAAAGTTCTTTGCCATCGCTCACTTGGAATTGAGGTCTTCACTTTCCACGGGCCTGTGTTTTTTCAGGCAATCGCACTGGCACTGGTATTGCTTCCTATAGCAGAATTCTGGTCCGCCGGAAATTTTAGCCACGTCTTTGTTACACTTTACGAATTTTGCATTGCAGGCTCGACAGCAGTCAAACTGGTACAATTCAAGCCACTGGCACTTGTACGGACGCTTAGCGAACACGACAGTGGACGCCAAAACACAGTCCGCTGCATCAGGGTCGAACTCAAATTTGCGAAAGTTATCGGCCTCCTTTAGGAAAAGAAAGACAAAGAAATGATTTAAGATGAGTCCATTGTAGCAGTCAAAGCGAGTCATGATTAGGTATGGCAAGACCACTCCTACAATGAGGTGAGACAATTGAGCTTTGGAGGGTATTGAAAAGGACACCTGTTATTAAGAACCAAGACAGAAGACTTAGAAATTGAACAGAGAGGAGAGATCCTTACCGTCAGAAATTTCTTGACTTTGATTTTTTCACAATCTCCCTCGCAAACAGCTAAGCATTGGGTAGACTCGTCGTGTTGTCTCAGCAGCTTTGGGCGAGGTTCATCCAGTAGCTGTAGACTCGTTGTCTTGGGCAAAAGGTCTCGGTGCTCGGGACGAAAGAAACGCTTCACATGTTCTTCAGTGTTGAATGCGTATGCGCTAACGCAGAAAACAGCCAGCGAAAACGAACCGAGAAAAATGGAAATTTTCATACTTTGAGCGAGTGTAAACGAACTTAGAAAGGTTTGACTTCAAATACTGCCTTCTACCACTGAAGCAAATGCTTTGTTCAACACACCTTTTATATCGCCAAACAGGAACTAAGACCGATCTTTTGTTATGGTGCCGGACTATTGATAGGTCGTGTTGGTCATTGGGTGGGTTTTATATGTTTTATCAGTCAAGCGTAATATGTACCGATGTCAGGTCAGCTAAACAAATGTTTACCCGTGAATACCAGGTGGAGGTTAAGTTGAAAAACGCTTTAAAAACTTCTTTTGGTTACTTTTCCATAATGGGTTTTGTTTCATCAACACATACGATTTTTCTGTTTTTTTTTTTTTATGCTTTAGCAGTCGCGCGTAATATGTGCCGTTGTTAGGTCAGATGAAGAAATATATACGCGCGAATTGTCCCACGACTAAAGGTTAGGTTGAAAACTTAAAATCTTTTAAAAATGTACCAAAAGGTTTTTTTTTCATATTTCGTCAATACACACGATTGCAATCCGTTTTTTTTTTTAGTGTTTGCACGTTTTCCATTCATCCACGCTTTTCGAGCACAAAAATATGGCCATTAAGTTGTCCAGTGATGTATGAAAAACGCTATTATCTTTTCTAACGGTATTCCACGTTCTGACACACACATTGATCTCAGAAACTTTTCGCCTGTGAATTAGTGGGTATCTTGTAGCTCGTACCACTTGTAAAGTGTGCCCACAAACAATAATTACACGATGATAGTTGTAGCCCCTGAAATTACTGAAATATTAGTTAATACACGGCTGTATTTCCTGCGCACGAGCCGTGAAAGTGGAACGAAGGATTCCAATATCTCAAAGCCCTGTACATATCTTTTACGAAACTTTTCTCCCGCAAACAGCTTGAGTTTTATACCTAGAATATCAGACCTAAGGCTTATTGGAGGGTGACTTTAGAGTGCAAATTTATTTGCGTATTTTCGTGATTGGTGGTTAAACTCAGTAGTAGAACATTAGGGTTATACAAACAACAAATTAGTGATGTGGAAGTCGCAGTGATCATTAGTTGTAATCGACTGAGTTTATTGTTAAAACGGAAAAACTATTGATCCATTATATTTTGATGTTTTTTTTTTTCAGTTGATATGCAATGTGTTTCTCTGTTTCCCATCTTCATTTCCATCAATTTTATTTGTGTTTTGGTCAGTAAATTTCAGAATACCGCTGTAACTGAAATAAGGTTCTCTACAACTATCTTGAATGATGTAGCTCGGAGAGGTGAGAAATGAAGGATTTCTCAACTGCGTGGTGCGCTCTTACATCAGCGCTGTTATCAGTTGTTGTACAAACAAGTGCTGTTGTCAGCACGAACCAGAGGCAAGCCGTACAGCGAGAAATTGCAAAGACAGTTAAAGAAAAGCTTCGAGATACGTCAGATTCTTCTAAAAGCATCTCCTGCAACTGTCGGAATTACTGCCCAGATCCTAACAGCTCCGAACTAGAAGTAAGTGATAATGCTATCAGTTGTGGAGGTTTCACCATGGAGGGAAATTAGTGAGCGTTTTTTTGTTTTTTCAACCTTCTGTGAAAATTGTCTTGCTTAACTGAAAGAGGGTTCTTTATGGAGTTAGGAGATAATGGCTGTACATCTTACT